TTAGTCGGCGCATATGCAGGCGCGGACAGTGAGTTGAGTTGAGCTGGTTTAGCTAAAAAGGCTATCTCCGCTAATTCAGATTAATTAGCTAGAGCTGCACCACTAGATCTGTTTAGTTATTTAGCGGACGTGTCTATTGTTTTGTAGTTGCTCACTCACGTATTAGCTTTTGGCAGAGTTTATGTTGGACGCGCGATCATGTCGCCGGAACAGAACAAGATCCGGCACCGGCCAGCCGCCGTGAGCACACTAGAGCTAAGTTTTATTTTTATACTCTATCCGTCCCTAAATATTTAATGTCGTTGATTTTTTAAAGCATATTTAACTGTTCGTTTTATTTAAAAAACTTTTATGAATATTATTAAAAACTAGAGTAGTAGTAGTATATTTAACCATGAATTAGATGATAGAAAAATAATTAATAATTACTTAATTTTTTAATAAGACAAACGGTCAAATATGTTTACGGGACGGAGGGAGTTTTTTTAGGGGGTCTTTTTCGCGAGCAGATGTGAGGTAGCGTGGCCACCGCCGGTGCCAATACGGCAAGAAGAGAGAGAGAGGATGACACGTGGTTCTTTTTCATTGTTTTTCTTTTTCATTTTGGTCTGTCATTTCACTAAGCATGTCATCTCAAATTTTAATTATGTGATAACCTATTGCAGTGTGTAAGCATTGAGATTTCACATGAATATTTTCTCCGTGTCCTAATATGTACATATATCCTCCGAAAAAAGGGATTGCTTAATTATCACATCATATTTTTCGCTTGATTTTGTATGCGATTGTGCTCTCTCCTATAGTAAGTATGCTTTTATCTCTTGTATATCCTCCTTTAAGAAATAAATTACTTCTAATCCTAATCCTCTTATACATTATGCATTAGAAAAATTACAATGTGAGTATTGAAACTTATAATGTAATTATAACACTGTAAGTTTTGAAATTTACAATGCAATTATACTATAAATGTATGTAACTTACAGTGTAAAAACGATTTGACTATTTTTGTGAAAACATTATGGTACCACAATAAGCTATAAAAAAACAAATCATGTCTTTGAACATGAAAAAATACTAGTCCAAATGCATGAATTGTTTTTTTAACGGAGAGAGGACAGCCTACCTATTCATGGGTGGAACAGCATTATGGGACCAAGGTGATACTTATGGCTCTCTACTTATCTATTGGAGGTTGCAAAGAATTTGCTACCCAGTGCTTAGAGTAACACTTATGTTGCTAGTTTGAGGTTATCTTTACAGAATTATAGACAGTATCATATGAACATATCATTATTTTACAAATTGGATGGATGCGGAGGAGTAGACACAGTAGAATGTACGCCACTTAAAACAAAGCCAAATAGCAGAACTATCAAACATGGGAAAAAACAGGGGAACAGGCCAGGAGAGATCAGGGACGATTCAGATCACAAAATAGTTAGTACCTAGTCAATTACCTAGCCTAACTAACGGAAGAATGTGCACACACCACATGATCTAGCTGAACAACAACAAGAACAAAAGAACTGCAGAGAGAATCTCTGCATGATGGATCCATGGTCCTGCAGCTCATGATCTGTTCTCACATAGGTAGATGCATGCACTCATTAATCTATTACTCCTAATTCCCATAGTCGGGTTAGTTTAATAATCAATGTAGTATCACTAGCTAATTTTTGTTGGTTAATTTATGGGCTCCAAAGGCTTTGCCTCTCGTGCACACAGTCATCAGGTCAGATGTATGGAAAACCCTAACCCAATCCATTTTGTTAATTAAGCTAGCTCCCAGTACTGTATTATAGTATGTACCTGCCTCCACTAAGCTCCAATAGTTGCATTTCCAAGGACCTCCCAAACTTCCATAACTAACAGTTTTGTTTAGTGACTAGGCAGTGTTGATGTCCAATTAAGGATTATTCATGTAGAGGAGGCAGTACAACCAAAGCTCTGAGCATTGGAGAAGTGATTGTACTACTGCTGCCAAATAGGCAAATGTTATGGTACATGTACCAAACAAAGTTTACTAGTAGCAGAACAATGCAAAGTGTGCCGTGGGGCTTTGGATTCTTTGCCTCCGTCCTCTGTTAATTTTACAATGGCATTCTGTTTTGAATCAGGCTCTTTGTTGTAGATTGTCTGCATGCTCCTTTTTAACGGTCACATTGATAGTATATCCTCCCTGCGTTTTTTTTTAAATATAGGATGCTGTTATTTTTTTTTAACGTGATGTTTGACTATTTATGTTACTCAAAAAATTTATATAAATATCACTTATTTTGTTATGACTTTTTACTATCAAACAAACTCTTACTTTAACTTATATTTACACTAAACCTTTAAATAAGATGGATGATCAAATGTTATAAAAAAACATAACAGTGTCACCATATTAAAAAACACAGAGGTAGTATCTCGATAATCTTGAACTAACATTGTCCTATGGTCTGTATATGTGTGGAAAGGCAAAATATGATATTCTTCTGACCGTCCCCCTAATTTTTTGTTCAACATACATCGGACGCTAGCTTTTGTGTGCTTATTACATAATTTAAACTTTATTTATTTATGGCAAATAATGGTTATGTTTGATAGGTAGACTATGAAATCTTGAAACTAATTTGCTACTCTCACTTAACTCGTTTAATTTGTGGCTCCATATATATAGCTAGGATTATCTTTTTAAGTCACTCGATAATGACCATCATCCCTCACTGTACACCTTGCGTCTGTGGCGCTTCTCACATGTGTATAGTGATCGTTGTCGACTCGTTTAATTATTTACTTTCATGCCTTCTTTTATCATATTAATCTATTTAGCTTTATAAACTGCTAAACGATATATTTTTTAAAAAAATTAAAAATCATATTAATTTATTTTTAGTTTTTAGCTAATATTTAATTAATCCCACACTAATGACCTAATCTATCTTGTTTTCCATGCGGAGAGAATAATTAAGTTCCTGAATGCACCCTTAATGTTGAGTTCTTTGTTGAGGTTACTAACTCAACTTGCATGTTTTTTCGGCATGCACGCTTTGCTTTTATTTTTGAAATCCATATAAAAGTTCCTTAAAAAATTATACTCCGTATTAATCTATTTTTTTTAAAAAAATAGTTAATAATTAATTAATCATGTACTAATAAGTCACTCCGTTTTACATGGGCGAGACATTGGTTACCAACACCAAGCAACGAACTGAGCCTAAAAGTCGTCTTTGTAATCCATTCCCTTTCCATTTATAACGAGGCTAGGCACATGAACACACAGGATACCTTCAGTCAAATCCTTCACCATATGCAACTGACCGAGTACGTACCAATGTACCACCCGCCGCGTTTTTACTTAGAGAAAGTATAATAGTGAGTTATAAATCTACTATAAGCTTATGTGGAGAAGAGAGGTATACAGAAGAGAAGGATGTTGGCTCTCATGTAAGAGCTAGCTTAACACAAGCTCCAAGACAAATACATTAAATGTATAAGTGAGAGATAGAGATAGGAGAAGAAAATTATAGCTAATCTTATAGCTAATTTATTATATGTGTTAACTTTAGGATAGGCTAATAGTAAGAAGTGGGCTATATTATTAATGTAGGAGTAGTAGTACGTCAAAAATCCAAAGATCAATGAGGCAGCAATCGAGGGGGAGGGAGAGAGAGAGAGCAATGCACAGATGTTGAGACCCCTCGTGTGAGAAATTAACCGGCGGCTTAATTAGCTACGACTCGTATAGCTGTTGGACTGCACGGTCTTTGAGCGTGTGTGGACAAGCGCGCGCTCGGCGGGCGAGACAACATGGCCGGCCGGTGTACAGTACTAACACTAATAGCCCCGTTTGAGTTCACTGTGTTAAGATGAATATTTTGTACGGTTACATGAAACGAGAAAGATATTAGCGTATGATTAATCGAGTTTAAGTAATTTTAGTTTTTTTTTAAAGAATATATTTTTTTATAATTTAAAACAGCTTCTCTACGTAGTAGGTTTCTGTATGGAACATACTCCCTCCATTCTAAATTGATCTATATATTTTATAGGTACACCAAGACCAAGAAAAGCTAATAACTATCCCATACTATATTTACTCTAGCAACAAACTCGATGTATGCACCATTCCCACAATTTCCTAGCCAATAGCAAATCAAGATATTGCATGTGAGTTATAAATACTTGTGTGCATGGATGCATACATCAATGTCCATTTACTCCAATGCACAGATAACGAATAGACTGAATGAACACAAATATGTAGATCATTTAGGAATAACCTCAAAAAAAACTATATGTATATCAATTTGGAATGGAGGGAGTACCATTTAGTAGTTTGAAAAACTTGCTAATAAAAATATAGATAAAATGTGTATCTTAGAGATGATGATGTCGTAGAGGTGAGCCAACTCATACACCATCTCAAGGCAGCCACCCTATTGCGACATGAACCTGATCGCTGTGCGCACTAGCCAGCCAGCCAACGAGAGCTCAGCGACACCTGAACAGTACAATTGGAGAGTCGAAAGCTAGAGAGGAGGGCCGAGAAGGAGCCGATAGCATAAGCGTGGGCGAGGTGACATGTTGCTATGTCTGGCTCGTTGAGCTACTGGAGGAAAAATATGGGCGAGAAACTCAAGAAAGCGCATTTGGATTTACCACTTCTTCCATCGTTTGCTTAATGGGCTGATAAGCCGTGAAAAAAATAAACAAATCAACAAAAAGTTATTTATGGGTAAAGCTTTTACTTGTGCCATTAGTGATTTAAAAGTCAAAAATGAAATAAATAAATAAATTATGATGAAAAACCTCGTAAGGCACACATGACCATGCGTTAGTGCACATGGTACAACTGGGCCAGCTATCTGAACCTGGGCCGGACCAAGCCCAACACGACAATTAGCATGTTTGCTCACGCAGCAAAGCATTTTAAACAGTGCAAGAATCAGTAGGAATCAGTTCGTTTAGCATGCTGTTATCCATTCAAAGCTGCAAAACAACAGCCCAAATAAATGCACAGATCAAACTATTCAAGCCCATTGCAGACTAACAGTGCAGTCTAATAAGATCCAAATGAAAAACAGATAGAAGAAGGCACTTATGTCCATTTTGACATTCCCTAGATAGATCATAGACTGATAATCTAGCGTCTGCTGCGAACAAAGACGCACAAAGCCTAACAATGTCGCATTACAGCTTGTGATTATTGAGTAGCAACAACCAGTTTCAGTTTTCAGAGATCAATCCCAACGAACAGCAAAGCTGCGCCACAGCAACAGCTACTTCTTGCATTGCTCACAGACTCAGCAGAAGAACATGGACTGCCTGACGTCCGGGTGCAGGCGCGGGAGCTCCGGCACCGGCCGCGGCGGCGCGCCGCCGTCACCGCTGCCCTCCGACGCCGCGTCGTCGAGTCTCACGAACTGCGACACCTGCGCCGCCGCCAGGTGCGCGTAGCAGATCGGAGCGACTGAAAAGAACAAAAGGAATGACATGTCAGGTGAAACTACTGAACTTTTGATTTTTCAGAGTGACAGAAAAATCGACTGGTCTAATTTGTCTGTGTTTAGATCAAATTTACCACCTGAGATGGCCGTCGTGCTCCTCTGGTACCTGAGGCAGAGTTCACAAGCATCACAAAGTTGATTAGAATTTCAGAACAGACGAACGAAATGCAGTCGAATGATCACCAGAGATTACTGAATTTTTTTTCTTCTTTTTCTGTGCGGTTTCAGAGTTTCAGTGTGGCTTACACGTATGAGAGGTTGTGCACAAGCTCCTGCAAGTCATCAGGGGTGAAATTGTTCTCATCATGCAGCACATGGTAATGCGTCGGCCTTGTAGTCCCCTGTCAAATATAAAGACAATCTGATTAGAGCACAAATTGCAATTGTGTAGCAAGTGTGTTCAAATTTTTATCCCAAATATAGCAAACTAAGACATGTATAACTTTTATCACTAAACTACTCATACTCTCTACCTCCCTCCCTCTCTCTCCTTACCCTCTTTTTAGTACCTATGTCATCTCTAAAAATTACTAAATTTTGGGACAGAGAGTAGTACATGTACATTTGTTTGAGATGTAGTTGGGAAAAAAATAGAGTGAATTTTGCAAACTATATACTTTGATCAAATTATCGTAAAACTACAAATTTAAGCCGGTATATCACAAAACTAATTTAGCAAAAAATACCACGGAACTACAAATTTAAGATGAAGTATCACAAAACTATAGATTTTGTATCAAAATTATATGAAAAAAAAACACTACATGTTTAGCACAATTTAATCATAAAACTACCACATTGATAGCTTCAGCATAACATCAGTGCTAAGGATTTAAACTCTAAAATAGTTTTTTACAATATATAGTTATGTGATAACTTTAAGATTAAATCTATAGTTTTTACAACATATAGTTATGTGATAACTTTAGAAATAAATCTGTAGTTTTTACGATGCTCAGTCTTAAGTCTATAGTTTGTGATAAATTAGGTCTAAATCTGTAGATTTGTGGTATAACGCCTTAAATCTTTAGTTTTGTGATAGTTTGATCAAATATGCAAGTTTTGTGAAATTTACTCAAAAGAATATCACATTTGTCCGAATGACATGTGGATCTGAGAGTTACACGTGTCCAGTGGCGCGTATGTGGTAATTTTCTCGATTATGTAATCTTTCCAATGGTACTAAGCCAACTGGAATTCATATTTAAGATAGGGCACTTACAATCATCCCAGCATGAGCACACATGTAGAAATCACAGTTCCTGGGATGACAGATTCCTTTGTCAACAACAGTACCTACAAAACAACGGCACATCTTCAAGAGTGAGGAGAAAAATGTTGATGGTACCTGACCAGAATAGGATTAAGAGAGGATCCTGAAAAAAAAGTGAGATGAAGGATGTAATTGTTACCAGGAGGAACATTGACAACTTTGTTCGATCGATCTGTCTGAAAAAATTTGGTGTGATGGTTCTTCTGCGCAACTATCACCGTGAACTTTGGAGACCATTCACTGTCATTTTTCTCATTGGCAAGAAACTCGCATGCCTAAATCGATTCGAAATACATGAGTATCAACTAAAATATGCAGAAGATAGATGTTCATTGTATCAAAAGCACAGGGGCTGAGCAGTAAATGCAGACTGTGCAGATCGGGCATGTTTACCTTGATTATCTGGGCTAGCTCAATGTTCAGCACCTGATTAAACTGGCCTTCACTAACCCCATCTCTAAAATTAAGATGGCAAAACTAGTTAGAAAACAATAGTACCGAGATAACAAAGTAGTAAAACTTACTGTCAGACAATTCCACCAAGACTGAATTAGAGTGGTTTTGTGAAATTTACTCTTGTTTAACGTAAGAGACAGGTCCAGAAAAATTTCAGTATAAATTAGAAGTTGCAAACATATATTTCAGAAGAACAACCAACCTGAAAATGATTTTTTTTTTCTGGCTTGTGTCCGCGAGAACTGTTGTAGAAGTCCATTAGTGACTCCCTGTGGTAAACAATTCCGATTCTTAGCAAGCAAAACTATTACGGAACAATAGTGGCAGTCTGCAAGATATACCTCAAACTATTCGAAATGAACCGAATTGAATGTCATAGAAGCATCTCACCTAATGATAACATGATCCTCATTCCCCACTAGCTTAAACAAGGAATCGATCATTTCTAGCCTGGGAGACTGGGTGCATACGGAGGCTTTATATTTTGATATGAGAGGCCACTCCAGGGAACTAACAACCTAGATAAGAACAGAAAACACTGTAGCACATCAGCTAATTGTCAGCTGCAAGAACCATCCAGATGTCACTGAGCTTCATATGCTGATACTTTCAGAAGTAGAGAAACATAAGTAAGAGAGGTTTTACGGTGTTTGCATTCCAAAAAGGGTAAAGATCCAACGCTCCTCAATCACAGGTACCATGTTAAAAGTATTTAAGTATTGATATAGGTACTTAGGTACTAAGGGTAAAAACATAATTTTGCTAGTAGAGAGAAAAGGGTAGAATTGTCTCCCAAATTATAAAAGGTACCGCATAGGTATAACGGTACGTATTAACACCGTAAAACCTCTTTGCACTGTTTAATTTCCTGTTTTGCGTGGTTTATTGTAGATTTACGTTGTATTGGAGTTAAGTCGTTTACTGCGTCACTAAGGTTTAATTTTTTGATTTGCGTGGTTTCTTGTAGATTTACGTTGGATTTGAGTCTAGATTTACATTGTGTTCTTACAACACATTATTGACCCAATTATGTGATTTTTTTTCTACATTTACATTTTATTCCAACAAATACGTAAAAACTCCTACCTTAATTATGTTGAAAATTACATTTTATTTCCAGCAAGAGATTTATATCGTCGACCAGACAATCTAGTCTCCTATTCAACCCTCAACCATACCTACACTTTTCCCTCTGTCTCTTTCCGGTGAAACGTTCAAACCCTAGAACAAGAACAAAGCAGGGAAAGAAGACGATGCGATCTGGAAAAGAAGACAATGCGATCTGGTATAGATCGATTGGATATCCGTGATTTTCTTTTTTTTTTGATGGCATACCGATCGATGGATATTAGATTTACTCTTTTTTCTGATGGCATACCGATCGATGGATGTTAGTATTCAATTAAAGTATAATGGCCATATTTTACAAGTTAATTACACCACTGCCATCATGTTACAATAAATTTGTTCTGTACCTTACCCCTCTCTTGATCAACGGTGCACGTTGTTCCACCTCCAGGTACGTAAAACATCTCCATAAGTAAGCAAGATCATAGCATACGGGGGAAACTTACCGCAGCGACAGACGGTACATCATCCCGTCCCGGTGAGCCATGGGAAACATCCATGCCTAAGATAATGGTTGGAGTCTTCGACAAGAGAGGAATGGCTTGGTTTCTTTCAATTTGCAGCAGCGAATTCAACCCTCCAAGCTGATTGAAAACACAGAAAAACAACATAAAATTCACAACAGGTGGCAACAAGAAACTGTGTAATTTTGTTTTCTGATCACGTCTGCAGTGCAGATTACCTTTGCATTTATCTTTAGAAGCACATTAGTCAGGTACTGATCGTTGATCTTGGTAGGAGCCAAGCATTGTGTTACAATACCGTATTTGACGAGACACATACGCTTCCATGGTCCTGAAAATAAACAAGAAAATAAATGATCCTTGATGATAGAGGCATGGTAAGCTCATTTACAGGGTTAAAAAGTTAAGTGGAGCAAACCATAGATGTCACAGTTCTTCCTCTCAGGGAGAACACACAACACAAAAGAGGGCTTGTCGCCAGACAACAACTGCTGAAACATGTCATTCACCCTTGTTTCCGCACGCTCGCGTCCCATGTGAGATCTCTCTTGAAACACATGATCTTCAGGATCTACTGGCTGCAAGCCAAACTAGTTGAGCGATACCGGAATCTGCAGAAAAGGCACAAGATTGGGTGGAGGATGAACTTACAAGTCCCTTCAAGTTCCCACAATGGATGAGACGCTGAGCAAGATGATGGGCATTGCACTGCGCAGAAAAATTGACAACTACCCATCTCTGCACTCTCTTGGGCTGAATGAGCCTCTAGAGGAAGAGAATTGGCAACATTATCGACAATGAACATGATGATGAATAGTAGGTACGGTATACAAATGGAGTGCAACTAAGCGACGTACTCACATTTTTATTGAAGTTCCACCTCCCATTGCGCGCAAAAATATCTTCGCCATCTCCAGATTTCAGCTTAACAATGTAAGATTTGATTAGATCAACAATGCTTCCTACATCATCAGTTCATCAAGAAAAGTTTCTGAAAGGCAGCAGTGGATAGTTATGACCAACCTTTGGTGCCGGAAGGACTCTAGCAGCAACCTGGGTAAATTCTTGAGCTATAGAAATGCCACACTCCCTCAGCATTGGCACAGAGTTATAATCACTGTCCCTCAACACCTGCCACAGATGGTGAATTTTTGACAATCATGGATACGGGATACCATCAGCTGAGCTGAATTTAGGGTATTAAGCATTGCAACTTACACCAGACAAGACAAACATCCTCTCTTGAGGATTCTGCCTTGATCTCTCAACCAACGTGGACCGCTGTAACGTCGACAAAGCCTTTTTGTACCTTTGCAATGGCACCAAATGGCAAAGCTGGTAGAACATTTTCCACACAGTTAATGACATGAACAATAAAAACAGCTATAGAGATTTGTACCAAAAAAATGTTTCAGAGAAAGTAAGACATACCTCCAATGGGATATATGTTGGCCGCTTTGGCTTCCCAACATTTAGACAGGGAAAGTGAGCAGATCCCTTCAAATCTATTTTCCAATTCTTCCTGTAGTATTCAAAGACTGTCACTTCTTCCACTGTATCCGAGCCACCGTTGCCATTTTTTCTCTTTATTTGGAACCTGGATCAGGAAAGAAAAACTAGAATAAGGTCGAGGCGCGTTTGCAGCTCAGAAATGGAATTCAGGAATATGGCCTCACGTCTGCGAATAGCAAGTGTCTTCAGACAAACCGATGATCCTAAATTCAGAGCCGGTGTGAGTCGTTTTTATCCTCAGGTTCTTCAGTGCACACTTGGCCTTAAAAAGAAAAAAAAAACAAGCAAAGAACATGGAAACTATGTGATCTAATGAACGTTCACTGGTTATCCCTCTTTCAGGACTAGTACATTTTGTTAGAATTTCAATGGTTACTCTCATTGAGAAGAGGATGGCACTCGAGATGGGGCGATTTTCTGGTTTTCTTCATTCACTAAACACAAAAGCCATACCTGTCCAAGGGAGGTTGGATACATATATATATAGCCATAGCTGGCTGCTAGCCTATTGCTGCACCCTCCTAGTCTAAAATTCAAAATTTGAATGGGATGCTGTCCTAGAGGGCATCCAAACTGAATAAAGCATAAAGGAGGCATAAAGGAGATGCTAACTGCTGCTGTCCTACTAACCGCAACTGTCCTAGCAACTGAAAAATATTCTAAAGGGTAGATGCTGTCCTGAAAAAGGTGAAACTACCCAAAAAGCAATAAGAAGAATCACGACCAAGGACCACAAAGACTTATCCAACATTCTCCCCCTAAGTCTTGTGCGTCGTCTTGTGGGAAAGTTGGGCCATCCCGATCCTGGAGCAGAGCTCGAGGAACTTGATCCTCCCAAGAGGCTTGGTGAGCAAGTCCGCAAGCTGGTCCTTGGTGTTGATGTAGCTCGCATTGATGCTCCATTCCTCCAAGTAGCTTCGGATGAAGTGGTACCTCACCCGGATGTGCTTGGTCCGTTCGTGAAAAACGGGGTTCTTTGCCAGGGCTAGAGCGGACTTGCTATCCACCCTGAGCTCCACCTTTCCAGTGTCTCTGCCGAGGAGATCACTAAGCAGTCGAGCAAGCCAGAGCGCCTGGGTCGAAGCGGCGGAGGCCGCCATGTACTCGGCCTCGCAGCTGGACAGGGCCACCACCTGCTGCTTGACTGACTGCCAGCTAACGAGGCACTTGCCGAGGAAGAAGAGAATCCCGCTCGTGCTCTTGCTGGTGTCGATGTCACCGGCGTGGTCGCTGTCGCTGTACCCGACGAAGTGTGCCTTGCCAGGACACTTCGGGTAGTAGAGACCGTGGTCGAGAGTCCCCGCAACGTAGCGGATGATCCTCTTCACAGCCTGCTGGTGCTCCGTCGTTGGTCGCTGCATGAACCGACTGACGTAGCCGACGGAGAAGGCCAAGTCCGGCCGTGTGTGGGTGAGGTAGCGAAGGCTCCCCACAAGACGTCGGTACTGTGTAGCATCCACCTCCTCCGCCGTGCTGTCGCGGCTCAGCTTCAGTCTCTCCTCCATCGGAGTGAGAGCTGGGTTGCAATCGGTGAGCCCAGCCAGCTCAACGACGCGCTTGGCGTAGGCGGTCTGTCGAAGCGTGATCCCGGAGTTGTCCTGGTGCACTTCAATCCCCAGGTAGAAGGAGAGAGGCCCCAGATCACTCATTTGGAAGGTGGCCTTCATCTCCTCCTTGAACGCCGCGACCTCCGCATCCTTGGTGCCGGTGATCACCAAGTCGTCGACGTAGACACCCACCAGCAAGGCATTTCCTCCATTGCCCCGCCGGTAGATGGCCGCCTCGTGCGGGCTTTGCTCGAAGCCCATCCCCTTGAGCGTAGAATCCAACTTGGCATTCCACGCCCTCGATGCCTGCCGCAAGCCGTAGAGGGCCTTGTGCAGGCGTAGCACCTTGCCCTCCTTGCCGGGGATCACAAATCCCGGCGGCTGGTGCACGTAGACCTCCTCCTTCAAGTCGCCGTTTAGAAACGCCGACTTGACGTCCATGTGATGGACGCCCCAGCCTTCCTGAGCAGCCAGCGCAAGAAGGAGTCGCACGGACTCCATCCGTGCCACGGGAGCGAAGGCATCGTCGTAGTCGATCCCCTCCTGCTGCACGAAACCGCGTGCCACCAAGCGAGCCTTGTGCTTGACGATGGCTCCGGCTTCATCCCTCTTCAGCTTGAACACCCACTTAAGGGTGATCGCGCGGTGACCACGAGGGAGGTCAGCAAGCTCCCAGGTGCGGTTCTCCTGAACCGCGTCCATCTCCGACTGCATCGCGGCACGCCATGCCGCGTGTTTCTCGGCCTCTGCAAAAGACCGAGGCTCACCGTCATCGCACGCAAGGTGCAACTGCGCCTCTAGGTCGCGAGGCACCAGTCCCGGCACCGGCTGGTCGCCGAGAAGATCCTCCATCGTACGGTACCATAGCTGCTCGCCGTCGTGGTACACGTCGATGCGCTCCCCGTCGTGGGAGAGCGGAGTAGCGAACTCCACCGGGCTGCGCTCAACACGAGCTGGCGTCGGAGTAGACGTGCTTGGAGGAGTGGCTGTTGGTGCTGGAGCATGTGGAGTCGACGAAGAGCTCGTCGTAGTCGAAGTCGTGGCCCGAGGGTGTGTTGGTGTTGGAGTCGGTGGAGATTTGGGGGCTGGGGTAGACACGCTAGGTGAAGAAGAGCTGCCTACTCCCCCAGCTCCCTCGAAGTGGACGTACTCGACGGTGAAGTCGTCGTACGTCGGAGTCGAACCATCGTCCACCGCCTTGTCCCATACCCACCCTCGCCCTTCATCAAACACAACGTCGCGCGCAGTGCGCACACGCTGTGTCTCCGGGTCGAGGATGCGGTAGGCCTTCGAGCCCTCCGCGTAGCCGATGAACACCCCTGGGGTGCTCCTGTCGTCGAGCTTGCCGATGTGGCCAAGCTCCTTGGCGAACGCGAGGCAGCCGAAGACCCGCAGGTGGGAGACCGCCGGCTTGCGCCCATGCCAAGCCTCGTACGGTGTCCTGCCATCGAGGGCCTTGGTAGGCGAGCGGTTGAGGATGTAGGCGGCCGTCACCACCGCCTCCCCCCAGAAGATGGCCGGCATCCCCCTCTGCTTGAGGAGGGCCCGAGCCATCCCCACAACCGTCTGGTTGCGCCGCTCGACGACGTCGTTCTGTTGCGGGCTGTAAGGCGTGGTGTAGTGTCGCTGAATGCCCTCATCAGCGCAGTACGACGCGAATTCAGCCGCTGTGAATTCACCGCCGTTGTCGGTGCGCAGCACGTGCAGCTTGCGGCCGCACTCTGCCTCTGCAGCAGCCTGCGCATGCCTGATGGCGTCCGCAGCCTCTCCCTTGCTGCCGAGGACCATCACCCACATGTAGCAGGAGAGGTCGTCGACGAGCAGTAGGAAGTAACGTCGTCCTCCTGGTGTGGCCGGTGTCACTGGGCCACACAAGTCCCCGTGCACGAGCTCGAGCCGCTCCTTGGCTCGGAAGCTCGTCTGCTGGGGAAAGGGGAGCCGCCGCTGCTTCGTCACCACGCAGACGTCACAGAGCTGCTCCACGTGGTCAAGGCACGGCATGCCTCGCACCATCTCCTTGGCACTGAGCTGCTTCAGGGCCTCGAAGTGGAGGTGCCTGAAGCGCTCGTGCCACTGCCACGCCTCGTCATCCCGACGAGCGGCGAGGCAAACTGGTTGTGCGACCTGCGCGCTGAGGATGTAGAGTCGATTAGTGCCTCTGGTTACCTTGGCAAGAAGGCGACGACGGCGATCCCAAATCCTCATGAGTCCGTCCTCGACCAACACGCGTGAGCCGTTCTCATCCAGCTGTCCCAAGCTGATGATAGAATTCCTCAACGCGGGGATGTAGTAGACTCCGGTGAGCAGCCTGTGCTCACCGGACTTGGCGGTGAAGGTGACGGAGCCAACACCCTTGATCTCCACGCCAGAGGCGTCCCCGAACTTGACGGAGCCTCGGACGCTGGAGTCGAACTCGGTGAAGAACTCCCGTCGGCTGGTCATGTGATGGGTGGCGCCGGTGTCGAGGTACCACCCATCAGCCTTGTCGTTGCTGGAGCCGTTGCAGAGGGAGACGAGTACCTTCGGCTCATCAAGGTGGAGGAAAGCCGCTGCGGCCGGTGCCGCTGGAGGTAGCTCGATGCTTGCGTGAGCCAGGAGCAGAGCCGGCTCTTCCTCCACCCGTGCGACGTGGGCCTGGCCACGTCGTGGCTGTCGACAGTCTTTGGCCCAATGGCCAAGCTTGCCACAGTTGCGGCAGGCGTCGTCTCGTGCCGGCTTGTGGTTGCCGGTGGCAACGCCCTGGGCGCCTCTGCGGGCGCCACCCTCGGCACGTCTTCGCGCCCACCGTAGCTGGACACCTCCCTGTGCCTTGCGCGGCTTACGGCCGCCTATCGGGGAAGATGACTCCCCCTTCCTCCCGTCACCTTGAGAGGCCTCCCACTGTTCCCGAGTGAGATGGAGCTTCCCGCCGATGGTGATGGGCCCCGAGAGAGGCTGTGGCTCATCACCATCGACGACCTTGAGGCGACTTAACGCCTCCTCGATCGACATCGTGGAGAGGTCCAGCAGAGATTCGATCGAGCGAGCGATCTGCCTGTACTTCTCAGGGACGCAACGGAAGAGCTTCTCGACAGCTCTCTCCTCGTCGTAGGTGTCGTCGCCGTACTGCACCATTTTCTGCAAGAGAGTGTTGAGACGGAGAGCAAAGTCATCAACATCCTCACCTGGCTTGAAGGCCAGGTTCTCCCACTCCTTGCGGAGTGCCTGCAGTGTGGACTTGCGGGCGCGGTCGCTGCCGATGCGTGCCGCAGCGATGGCGTCCCAGGCCTCCTTGGCAGTCCGCTTCTGGGAAAGCGAGAACTGCATCTCGGGCGGGACTGCAGCGATGAGGGCATCCAGTGCTCGCCGATCCTCGTCGTAGTCGACGTCACCGTACCGGACTGCCTCCCACATATGCCGCACCTAGAGCCTCACCCTCATCACCGCGGCCCACTCGATGTAGTTGGTTTTGGTGAGGGTAGGCCACCCACCGCCGGGACCAAAGTCCCTGACCACTGTCTGGACGCCGTGGTGACCATGGTGCCGGTCAGGGGAGAGAGAGCCGTGCTGCCTGCGAGGGCCACGTGCGGGCTCCGGGCTGCCGCCGGCACGCCCGAGCCCGTCTGGGTTCCCGTCGGCGGGCGCGCGGTCCCTTGGGCCGCCGCCGCCGCCGTGGAGGTGGGCTGCTGCCCACCGCTCTGCTCGCTCCCGTGCCCTTGCTCTTGCCAGCTCCTCAAGCTCCCTGTCGGCGGTGATGTCGCCGGCGATGGAGCCGTTGATGCTGCTGCGCAAGGTCTCAACCTCTACCTCCGCCGCACGTGCCGCATCTTTCGCCGCCTCCGCCTCCGCCCTGGCTGCTGCCAACTCCGCTGCCGCCAGTCTGGCCGCCCTCGCTGCTGCTGCAGCGGTCTGAGCCGTTGCTCACCTGCGCTCTTCTGCTGCGGCGAGCTCTGCGTCCTGCTGACGCCGAGTGCTCGAGGCGACCGAACGCCGAGACCGAGCGTCGGACATGGCGCACCTCCGGGGGGCTGCTGCGTGGAGAGGGGGAAGGGAAAGGGGAAGGAGGAGCAACCGGTGCTGCTGCTGCTGCTGGCTGAGAGCTCAACCGAGCTTGAGAAGGGGTGGAACAAGAGATGTTTAGCCTACAGGAAAGTGTGGCTCTAATACCAGATGTTAGAATTTCAATGGTTACTCTCATTGAGAAGAGGATGGCACTCAAGATGGGGCGATTTTCTGGTTTTCTTCATTCACTAAACACAAAAGCCATACCTGCCCGAGGGAGGTTGGATACATATATATATAGCCATAGCTGGCTGCTAGCCTATTGCTGCACCCTCCTAGTCTAAAATTCGAAATTTGAATGGGATGCTGTCCTAGAGGGCATCCAAACTGAATAAAGCATAAAGGAGGCATAAAGGAGATGCTAACTGCTGCTGTCCTACTAACCGCAGTTGTCCTAGCAACTGAAAAATATGCTGAAGGGTAGATGCTGTCCTGGAAAAGGTAAAACTACCCAAAAAGCAAAAAAGAAGAATCACGACCAAGGACCACAAAGACTTATCCAACACATTTGATAATTATGAAAAAAAAACATGATCAATAACAACGCTTTTGATTTACCTTTCCCCAGTCAATTTCATGAGGGTTCTTGATATTCTGGTTGAAGAGAAGAAACTCTATGACAGGTCCAGGTCTGACGATCATCGTCGTGGATACATCTGCACAAAATCAGATAATGTTCTGCATTTAATATCACTTTGTCACATGTTGTTTACTTTGCTAAGGATCTGATGATAGGTGATCTCATGCAAAAATTAAACATGTAGATGATGAACATACCAACATTCAGTGACAGGCCACTGTCAGTGGGTCGAAAGCTGGAGTGAAATCCCCGACAAGAGATTTTCTCCCGTCCTCCTTTCGGTACCCCAGTTTTCATCCAGCCGTCCATTGCTGAGGGGTACGATGGGCATGAGGCTGTATCGCGTGCGCTATCCATAGACCATCTCAGGTTTTGGGCGACCTCATCCTGAAGCGCCATAGCCATCCCACGGCCAAGCAGGCATCAAGGGTTACCGACCCGCTCGACCGGAAGCGCCGCCGCGGCAGGTGCACGGGCTACCGCCGGTGGACGTTGCCGCCGCCGCAGTAGGGGCACGTCGCCAACGCCGCCCCCCGCGCCCGTCGCGGCCGCCGCTGCAGGTGCTCGTCGCCCCTGCCGCCGACTCCTGTGATTTCATCGCTCTCGTAGAGGTAGACTGTTGTGATTTGACTGTGCCGATTTTTGTTTGACCGGATTTGAGTACTGAGAATGAATTGTGAAATTTTCTTTATAGGCAAACTCTTTATGGGTGAGAGGAGTATCGTACGATTACTGCTATGAGATTCAAGACTGAGGATGACGGCTTCAAGTTATAGGCTATTACATTTTGCAATCATGTCTCTAAGTTGTTTTGTCATTCCTACAATTTCAGGAAAGTAGAAGAAGATGTGTGAGATGGATAAGAAGTAGAAGCAGCCCTTTGCTATGCACTTTACATAGTTTTGTCATGCTCTTGGTCGTAATGAATACATTGGACTGTAATAAATCTTGATGTGCTTTCCTGTAGTATGATGGATGTACTACTATTTTGAGTTGTGCTCGCATGGTTGAATTTTGATGTGTTTTACTGTATGTGAACATGGTGTATGCGAATCTGAAAATTATGTGTTAAATTATGTGTTTTGGTGCTGGTGCGTTCTGGAAATGAAGATATGTTTGATGTATTGCAATTTGGTGCGCTAAATTGTTTACTGTATGTGAGTATGAAGTTGTGCTAGCAAATTTGGTAATTGAGCCAATATTGCTTGATATGCTTGAGACTGACAGCCGGATGGTTCTAATTTATTTGAGATTTGAGAAAAAAAATTGCATTCATAACAATACAGTTCGTACATAAATTATTCAACACTGGTACATATACTCCAAGATATTGTACATAAGAATTGCAATAACAACTAGGGAACCCATGAACCAACTTTTAACATGGTCTGCCTCTTTTTTTAGCTTTGTAATTTTTTTCTTATATGTTGCTTCACAAGCCAAAATCTTGGCAGCCATTTCAAATTCAAGTTTCATTTTGTCTTCCTCAACTTTTGCTCTATCTGGACCATTCGTACTGCCGCCTGGTTGGATTTGTTGTGCTAGCATGGTCCAGCGCAAGCCAAAGCTTCTCGAATGCCAAGCAGGGGCCGCCGTCGCCGCCGCCGCGCAGGGGCCGCCGTCGCCGCCGTGCCTTCATCGTGGCCGCCGCCGCCGCCGCCGCGCAGGGGCTGCCGTCACCGCCGTGCCTTCAACGAGGCCTTCAGCGTGGCCGCCGCCGCCCCCGCCGCGCACGGGCCACCGCCGCGCCGTCCAGATCGGGAGAAAGGGTAGGGTTTTGCTAGTCAAGAAGTATATGCCGCACTTCTCCAAACTATCCACCGATCCAAACTTCATTTCAAACGCGAAAATACGATTATACCCTTCCACCCTTGCTCAATCGCACAGGCCACACCATGACCAAGCCGGTACCCCGAGGTACCAACTAATCTTGACCGTTCGATCTATCATCATCAACGATTGGGATTTCAGTACCTCGCGGTACTAGTACCTTGCGGTAAAAAAGAAGGACCGGAGCAATTCTCATTTAAAAAATCCATTGAATCCGGTTCAAAAATTCCCACATAAGTAAAAAAAAATAAATGTCGAATTCATTCTGGTATTGAATATTTGCATACTTCGTAACTTTGAGCACTACATTCAGTTTTTTTTTCCCGATGGTGTGGATGTAGGACTAGACCGGATGTAGGACTAGACCACCCAAGTTTAAGACCTCGTTGAGGAGAGTTTTTTATTTTATTTTATTTACAAAAGCATTGCTGAATCACTGAAACATGGTGAATTCTAACAAGCAAGGCCTTGCAACGAGAGGATCAAGAACTTACTGCTTAGCAGAGTGCTGCCTGAGCGTGATGTCAAGAACCCTAAGAGCCTCCATCGAGTTCTCTGTCTCCTGCCCTCTTAGCACCTCGGCAATGGCGCTCATGGGGTCCTTCGCCGCGAAGGAGATCTCCACCATGAACTTCTTCACCGCCATCGGCCGCTTCATCCTCTTCCTGTCACTCCCCCCAGGGCTTCCATCGTCTCCTCCGGAGCTCCGCCTCGTCGTCGTCCTGCACACAGCAAAAAAACCAAAGAAATGGTGCTCACCACCTTGACAATTTTTTTTTAGATACAGGAAAATGGTTACATCTCCGGCCTCTGCCAACAGACGTCACCACCTGGACATAGCAACAGTTACATATCCATAGTTTACTTGGCTTATCAGCCGTGAACAAAATTTAATTTATGAAACTTAATTTCAAAGTTGATTTTGAGGGTTCTTTTGTCGTAGTTTAGTTTTGGTTGATTTGTTCATTTTTAAACGGCTTATCAAGTATCAACCCATAATTATTATTATTATTTATTTTTCAAGCGCTTTGTGATCGATACTACCTTCCAGATGAGGAGGCGTCCTCCATGACGACGACGAACTGGTGCTTCGTCTGCAGCAGAGCTCCGGCGGTGAAGAGGCCCTTCTCGCCGTTGTAGGCGAACTCCCTGCCGGCGAGCTCCGACGCATAGGTCTCCTGCAGCTTGTCGACGACTCGCCGGCACACGCCTTTCGCCTCCACGGGGCCGCCGTCCTCGTACTTCACCTCCACCTGCAGCCATGGACACACAACAACACACATGAAATGCAAGGATTCAGACATGGAATTTCAGATGCAGAAATGACCAAGATAGCAATGAAGAAGAAAAAAATTGCGGGGATTGTGTTGGTGTACGTGGTAATGGTAGAAGTGGCCGTCCATTCGCCGGACAGAGACTCTGAAGTGGTTCGTCAAAAGCTGTATCGACTGCCCTCTCGTGCCAAACCCTTTCCTCGACATTGGAAGCTTCTTGGGTGGCTTGGCCATGGCCGAAGGTTCGCCCTCGTCACCATGAGACTCCATCCAAGCTCAGCTCAACTTGTAACTGCAGACCAAAAAAAAAAAGAAGAGAAAAAGGAAAGATTGCACGATGATTTGATGGATGGGATTGGGAAAATAACCAAACAAACTGAAGTTTCCTAAAGTTAAGACCAGGTCAATGAATAGATTATGGTGATCAGGACTAGCATACATAAAGATTAAAATCGATAGATATAGCCGCGATCCTGGAACCAAAACGGTGAACTATGTATACAGAAATGAAGAATCAAAACAGTACATTTTGGAAAAAGCAATTCGAGACTATATATATTTCGACAGCCTATATATAAGCAATGAGGGTCCACGAGGATGATAGATTAGGAAACTTGTATATAGACAGGCGACTCCAGAAAGCTATCCTTTTCACATTTGGAAAATAGCCTTATTTGCACAAAAGTGTAGTATTGGTAAGTTGTAAATAAAAAAGTTATATTTTCTCGATGACATCAAATAAAAGTCAAGTTTGACACACATCAATAACGAAAAGTAAATCATTCTTTATTATTAAAAAAAGAGGAATATAAGTGAGTTGGCCCGCATATAAAGGGCTACCTACTTAAATGGCTTATAAGGATTTAACGGTTAACCCACTTACACGGTTACACCTTGTCCTACCGTACGTACGGCTATACTCCTAACATCACTCCTCCTTGCACCCGCATATGAGTATAGGCCCTAAAAGCCTCCTCCTAAAACTTTTTTAAAAAAAGTCATGAGCATCACGATGTCGTTGGCGCACAAACCTTCATACACAACCTAAACTGTGAAAGTAATCCTCTTTAGAAAAAAAAAGTTGATGGATGGTTACCAAATAAAAAAAACTGCAATATTCAAATGTGAAATAAAACAGTGATTCTACAATCCTTGGTAAAATGAGAATCATCATGAGTTGTTAAAAAACTATATCCATCCCAAAATATAGTAATTTCTAGCTACGTATTTGGACATGTGTCTAGATACATATCATTTGGATAATGGTCTGTCCAAATACATAGCTAAAAAATTACTATATTTTGAGATAAAGATAGTTTGCTACAAAATGTGGAATTCCCATACATCTTTGAGGACTTGGAAAAAAAACTCTGAAGTCTAAAGAGAAGAAGCAAACAGTGGCGTTTTATCCTAAGTGGAGCTGTGGAGGTGATGATGCAAAACCCCAACCAAAGTTAATATTGCAGCACACGGAAGATGTGGTTTTTGTCTCTGTGTTTCATATAGATGCACATCTCTTCTTTATTTAACCGATATCAAAGTTGCTAAATGGTGCATGGTGCCCCCATTTTCTTGTTTTTACCAACCGATCGAAAGAAAGATCAAAATAGCAAAATTCAGGAATTAAAAAGAACCCAACCGTCCTTACAGAGCAAAAAACCGCAGATCAAACCCTGGCCAAAAAAGAACTCTGCAACAACATCAAAGATCAGCAAAGGTAACTGCACCGAAACGAACTAAAGCAGAGAGATCGACGAACTCTGACGATGAAACTGTGAAGAGACAGAAATGAGATGGACGAGATTGAAGAGGGGAATCAGAGAGCACAAAATCGGTAGGCTAGTGAGATGCCAATGCAACTCAACCAAGACAAGGTAGCAGCAGGAGAGAGAGGAAGAAGCAGCTTTTCAACTCAAAACATATAACATATATAGAAGAAAAATGAGGAGAACGAGAATAAGATTGGCAATTCATATGGTATATCTTTTGAGATATATTAGGATACAAAGAACCAATATTCACTGTACATCTCTCTTTTGTACACGCTTCAAAGAAGAAAGAAGAAGAGAAGGAGGCATCTCACCTTGGTGTGGCCGGACTCCAGAGAGAGGACTGTTCTGGCAGTGCAAAACCCCCTTCGTCTTCAGCAGGAAGAAGCGAAGAAGGAAGCTTAAAAGGACACGGCAGAGCAGAGCAAAAACCCACTTTGTTTGCTTTTTAAATGATTTGACCTCAAATGTTTAGCGAATCACCAAGAGCCTACTACTGTTACTGTATTAATAATTAATCAGTTTAAAGACTATCCAAATAATCCAACATTCAATGCACCAAAACATTTTTTTTTTACTATCTTTCTTTCCTTTTTCTCCATCCTCTTGTAGCAAATGAGTTAACATATACGGAAGATAATAAGCTATAGTTGTATTCTATTTAATCCTACCAACAAATGAATTAACGTATACAATAGTTTTTTCTCCATCCTCCTATAGCAAATGAGTTAACATATACGATCGATAATAAGCTATAGCTGTATCCTATTTAATCCTACCAGCAAATGAGTTTACGTATACAATAGATAAGATATGGTTATATTCTATTTAATCCTACCTTAGAGCATGTCTTGCTCTTTTAGCTTCTAATATAAAACCAACCAAATTGTACTTGCTCTTTAGCATCTTACATGAAAACCAACCTAGTAATCGTACTCTGCTCTTTTAGCTTTTATAGATGGACTTTGCGAGACATTTGATTGGGCCCACCGGCGCAGAAGCCATGGAATGAATCCATGGTACTCGTTGTCTATCTCAGTTTCAAGCTAAAAAGTGTGCACCATGTGATCTCCTTTGCAAAGCTCTCTCCACTTGTTGATGCTTGCTGCTGGTTTCCATTCACGGTAGATGCACAGACGTAGCAAAAAAAAAAGCTCACCAATGCACGCTACTGTTCATACTTCATTCTCTACGTTAGAACCTCTAATGCAGATTATCCTGATTCATGAGACAGCTGTCAGAGTAGGGAGCAAAATTTATGACTTGCAACGTTTTAAAACCAATTTGTTAAAGAGGCTAGCAATTCAGCAAAACCATGTCACCTACTCCCTCCGTCCCAATTCCTAGGTTTCCGTGCCAACGTTTGACTATCCATCTTATATAAAAAAATTTTTATAATTAATATTTTCATTGTTGTTAGATAATAAAACATGATTAATACTTTATGCGTAATTATTTTTTTAAATAAGACGAACTGTCAAAAATTTGGGACGGAGGGAGGGAGTACACGGCTACATGGGTTCCAAGAAAACATGAGCTGATTCCAACGGATGCAAGCAAAATTCAGCAAAAAATCGAAAAGAAAAAAGGCAACCCAACCCATAAGGGCAGCAAAGCAGAGCATGGAACAAGCTGCGATTAAGATGGACAGGTTCAGTAGTTATCCTAACAGGTTCAGAAGTGCGGCATCCAGCCTAATAACATCCACCCCCCAGCTGGTACTTAAACAAACACGACATAAACAAGACTACCAAAACATCCACAAGTTCAGGCCATAACATAGCAGCCAAGCGGCTGCTCAGCAGAAGAACATGGAGCTCCTGACTTTGTTATGCAGGCGAGGCAGCTCGGGCACCGGAGCGCTGCCCGCCGAGGTATGGCCACCATGGCTCGACGACGTCTCCGACATCTCGTCGAACTTGATGAACTGGCTGACCTGAGCAGCAGCGAGATGCGCGTAGCAAATGGGTGCAACTGCAAGGAAACAAGATAAAGATGAATAAATAAACACTGGCATGCAAGTTCGAAGCAAACATCAATCACTAAACCAGGTATTGCCCACTTACCGACTGATATGGCTGTAGTGCTCCTCTGGTAGCTGAAAGGGTACAAACAAGCATTTGGATGTCAGAACAAGTCTGTTTCCAAGAAGTGAAAAAAGGAATCATGGCATATATCAAACTTACACATAGGAAAGGGAGTGGACCAACTCCTGAAGATCGTCAGCAGAGAAGCCTATCTCATCATGAAGGATATGATAATGTGTAGGCCTTGTAGTTCCCTAATACAGCACAGGCACAACCACCATCAATTCAAGTAGGACCAAAAAAAAGGGACTGGCAAAAGGAGTGAAACTTCATACAGAGAACACACACAAAAAAAAACTATAGAAATTTCTGATATTAGGCTATAAAGAAATTCACATAATAATACTACAGCTGGCCAAGATGGTTTTATAGCATAATTAAAACAAGTTGCATAAAGCACCCAAGATAAATGAATTAATTCATCCAACATAAATCAGAAGTTGCACATTAGTTAGGTTACCAGCTGTAGCAATGCATTCCTGATCAACCGTCAATAGTTACTGATTCAATTCATCAATGACACGTACAAACATTTATGTACAAAGAGTACAAAGCTTGGCCTGATGGGATCATGGTAAGTATCAATCTAGATCACTTTTGAAGGATAAAAAACTCAGGGCAAGGATTGAACAAAGCAACAGCCTACAAGTGCCATGTATCAATAACTTAATTTTAATATGAAAGACTTGCCTAAACAATCGACCTTGAAAGTGGAATATTATACGTGACCCAATTAAAGCCAACCCCGATAAAATACACCAAGACGATACTTACAATCATTCCAGCGTGCGCACACATGTAGAAGTCATTGTTCCTTGGATGACAGACTGCGTTGTCCACAACAGTACCTAAAAGTTACATCATTCAAATCATTAGATATTAGATTAAGGATGTACAATTGCAAGTTTTGACACAACATATCGAACAATGGGATTACCAGGAGGAACGTTATTTTGAGATCCAGGCACAAAAAATTTGGTATGATGATTCTTCTGTGCAACAATCAGTGTAAACTTTGGAGACCAGTTTTCGTCAAGAAACTTGCATGCCTGCAACAATTTAAGGATACAAAAGTGATTGTGCAGCTGATGATAGTAATGATACTTGCAGTCTTGCATACAAAATAAAAAAGAACTAAAAACAATAGAACAGAAAGTTATAATGAACAATACCTCAATTATTTGATCCAGCTCAATGTTCAGCACCTGGGTAAACTGGCTCTCACTGACCCCATCCCTATATTTAAAGCACCAAATAAGTGAAAAAAATTAAACGGTTACACAAAGAACCAGTTAAGTCAAAGCACAAAGTAATCATTGTCCATAATTTAAGTTTTGCTTTTACAATCCTGCATTCAGGTATTTCACTGAAGCTTATTAATGGCATTTACGAGAAGCTTTCAAAGAGTAACTGACCTGAAGATAATGACTTGATCAGGCTTACGTTTACCAGTACTGGTATAGAAGTCAACTAATAACTCCCTGAAATAATTTCCAGCACAAATGGCAGAAGATATCATTAGCACTGGGAGAATTTAATGAACAATGGAACATGCCACAAAGTTATAAGGATTGCATCACGGTCCAAATAAAATTGCTTACCGAATGAGGCCATCATCTTCCTGAGCTCCTTGTGGCTTAAATAGTCCATCAATCATTTCTAACTTAGGTGACTGAGAACGGACTGAAGCCCTGTATTTTGATACAAGAGGCCATTCACGAGAACTAACGACCTAAAAAAAGGTTAACGATTAAGAATTAAGGACCGGTAAGAGCAAGAATAATAGTGGACTATAAGCCCACTATAAGCTTATGTGGAGAAAGACACAGAAAAATTATGTGTTGGCTCTAATGAAAGAGCTAGTTCTCCACATGCTCCAAGATAGATGTATTAAATATACAAGTGAGAGAGAGGAGAAAAAAGGCAACCTTATAGCTAATCTATTATAAATATTAGCCAAGATGGGTTTATACTTATTAACTTGTAGTTAGCTCTCTAAGCTCTAAACTATCAAACTTGCTCTAATGATTAAGTATAGTAAAGCTTTTCGTTTCTGGTACAGTGCAGAAAATTAGAAAAGTTTACTTACCGCAGCAATTGAAGGTATATCAGACTGTCCAGGTGATCCATGGGAAACATCCATTCCCAATATTATTGTCGGGACCTTGGATACAAGAGGAATGGAAGGGGATGTTTCAATTTGAAGCAGGGAGTTCAAGCCACCAAGCTGATTAATAAACAAGCAAAAATGTTAGTGCTGACCAGACCAGATATAAAATGGTACAATGCGAGAGAAGGAAGGATGTGAAAATCCACAAACCTTTGCATTTATCTTTAACAGTACATTTGTAATATACTGATCATTGACCCTAGTAGGGGCCACACATTGTGTAATAATCCCAAATTCAGCAAGACATTTCCGCTTCCAGGGCCCTATTAGAGAAGAACATGTGAATGCCATAGAAGGGTTGCATATTTGAATAGGCATAGCACAATCTTAGTGTAACTGACCATAAATATCTGAATTCTTCCTCTCAGCAAGAACACAGAGCAGAAACTTTGGTTGTCCAGGAAGCTTTTTTTGCATCTTGTCAATCATGCCATCTACCCTTCTTGCAGCAGGAGCTCGTCGCATTGAAGGGTCCTCCTCAATGACATCAAATGGATCTTCTACTTTCTGCAAAGCCAGTCTTTTAAGTGAGGGAATCGCATTTGATGAAACATGCAACACTAAAGTGAGGGAATTGCATTTGATGAAATATGCAACATTTTGAGTAAAACAGAAAAACCTACAATTCCTTTCATGCCACCACACTTGATGATGTCTCGGACAAGATCCCTAATATTACACCGTGCAGAGAAGTTAACAACTGCCCATTTCTCGATACTGCTAGCCTTAATGAGCCTCTGTAAAAAAAAGATATAACAGAAGTTACAATATGTATCACAACATGGAAGTCTAAAGAGTAAAGTGGGAGTAGAACTGAGACACTAACCTTATTATTAAAGTTCCACCGCCCATTACGTGCAAAAAGATCTTCACCATTTCCAGCTTTTAGCTGCCAAAGAAAAACATACAATTGATCTAAACCATATACAAATAAGAGAACACAGCAAAGGGTTAATTAAAAAACGCAGCATAGACAGTTCTGACTGACCTTGGGGGCCTGCAGCACCCTGCCAGCAACTTGTGTAAAACCTCGAGCAATTGAAATACCACAAGAATTCAACATAGGCTCTGAATCATAGTTGCTGCGTTTCAGCACCTGCAAATTCACCATTGATGATTTGATTATTCTGTCAGGAAAGGGGTACATCAGCTCTTAAGCTGACAGAGGAGCAACTCACATCAGACAAAACTGACATCCTTTCTTCAGGTTTCTGCCTGGACTTCTCAACAAGCGAAGACCTCTGTAGTGTACTCAAAGCCTTGGTATACCTTTGCAAAGGCACAAGAGAGCAGAGCTAGCAAGCATAGGAACATTCACCACAATCAGCAAAGGATGTTAATTGGAAAATATTTATGTTGGATTAAGGAAAACAATTACCTCAATTGGAAAATAAGTTGGCCGTTTTGGTTTCCCCACATTGATACAGGGAAAATCACCAGAGTATCTCAACTCTATGCCCCGATTCTTCACAAAGTACTCGTAAACAGATACTTCCACACCTTCAGGTTCACCATCACCATTTCTTTGCTTCAAAGTGAACCTAGATAATTATGTGTAGCTAAGTAAATAAAGCTATTTCTCAAAGTACATAAAAAACCAAAGTTGCAATTGCAAAAACGTCAAATATCCAGGCACACAACAATATAAAATATAAGAAAAACAACACATGAACAAGCTCACATTTGTTCATAGCAGTTTCTCTCACTCAAACCAACAATCTTGTATTCAGTATTTGCTGGACTTGTTTTTATCCTTAAATTCTTCAGAGCACGCTTGGCCTACAAATTTGTGTTAACAATACAATTCAGTCATCTCAAAGGGTTCACATTGTTCTTGTCATTCATTCTTAAATTATTGTTTTACTCAGTGAAATGACGACATAATACCTTTGCCCAGTCAATTTTGTTTGGGTGATCAACCTTCTGGTTGGCAAGTAGAAAATCTACCACAGGACCAGGTTTCACAATCATCGTTGTGGACACATCTGCACAAGTTAAAGCAGCAACATGCAAACATGTATTATCAGCTACAGCGTGCATGTGACCACATACAAAATATGAAATTGGGGCCATAATAGCAATCGTTTACCGATATTGAGTGAAAGTCCACTCTGTGTAGCTCGGAAGCTTGAATGGAATCCCCTACAGCCCATCACACCACCACCCAAGTCAACAAAATTTGAAGGATTGTTATGGAAAAAGGATTGGCGAACCAAAAGGCAACCCCTGCATAAAAAAAGGAAAAGTTAAGAACAAATGCAAATCAGCCATGATGTTAAACATTCTAAACAATATAGCTAGAATATTTGCAAAGTAGGGGCTTCCAAAAGATATGGAAACATACTGTTTTGCGGAATGCTGTCTTAATATGATATCAATAACACGAATTGCTTCTTGGGTGTTTTCAGATTCCTGGCCTCTCAAGGCCTGAGCAATGGCGCTCATAGGAATTTTTGCTGCAAAGTTCAGCTCAACTTTAAAAGTTTTTGTCTGATATGGCCTTCTAACCCTTTTCCTGTCATTTCCTGGACTGTCATTGCCAGGGCTGCCACCATTTGCAGATGACCTAATAGCATTGGAAGTTATGTGAGCAAAAAATGTTGAAGTAAAAAATGTTGGCATCATTGAAAGTAGCAGAAAGAATTGAGATAGATAATTACTTTCCAGTGTTGAAGTCTTCCAGAACTACCGTGAACTCATTGTTCACTTGAGGAAGAGCACCAATGGTGAACAGGCTCTTCTCACCATCGTATGCAAAATCTTTATTTGCCAGCTCAGACGCATAGGTCTGCTGGAGTTTGTCCAGCACCTTTCTACCTATGCCCTTTCCATCCACTGGTCTATCATCCTCATACTTCAGATTAACCTGTGTAACTCAAGCAGTAGTGGCAATCAGACATGAACAAAAGGAACTCAAAGAAGAAAAATAAAGAACTGTTACAAGGGCTAGAGACGAACATAGTAGTGATGGAAAAATTCGTCTGCTGCCTTCAGTGAAACCTTGAAGTGGTTCGTCAGCAGCTGTATCGGCTGCCCTTTTTTGCCACAACCAGAGCGAGCCATCAAGGCCCTCTTAGGTTTTGATAACTTTTTTGTATCATCAGTTTTAATTGGCTCAGCATTTGGTGGCAAAGGTGGGGGAGGTGGCAACTCCTCGATTTCACCACTGTTGGACTCCATGTGCACACTTCTCTGAAATAGAGCATAAAAGCCAACTAAATAAACACTTCTCTCAGACTAGAATATAACAAGTTAAATCAATCTTCAAAACTAGAATCATACAGAAAACCCCTAGGTCTCACTAATATATTTTGCATGCAAATGAAATCGTAAAATACAAGAAAATTATTATGACACCACAAGGTTTAAAACATTCAACTAAAAGCATAATATAGTAATATGCTAACACAAACGTTATGTCAGTCAGTCTGCCATGTTGCATATGCACACAAAAGAACACACAACAAACGTTTCAAGTCACCGTTCAAGTCCAAACTCTTATCACACCTACATGAGTTTGCCAGTACACTTTAAATACACTGTCATACTGAGAATGACCTGAGGTTACTACTACTTCGAGGGTCAACCGGTGCCAAAACAACTAAGCTTCTTGTTTGCCATCTACATTAAAATGGTACTCCAGTTTTTAACAATGTATTCAAAGACACTAATCGTTTGTCAGACGATTGCAACATTAACAAGAAAGCCTGAGAAACTAGTAGTACATGCAAAAAAAATATGTATAACTACTGAGAGTGAGACCACAACTATAGAAAATTCCTAGTCAACTCACAAAGATTAAAACATTAATTAATAGCCAAATTAAGAGCGTAGTACACTTACCGACTAACTCCCCAAAGCTGTCAAAGCGCTGCCCTATCCTGCACACAAAATACATAACTCATTCAACAATTAACAAGGTAAATCAAAACAGAAAAGGAAAGGAAACTAAAACCCATGCTAACAGATACCAGACAATGAAAATGCTCTGGGTCAAGAGTTTTTCCTCCAGAAAAAGAAAAGAAAAGCAAAATTAGAAAACTATTTTCTTAATTTTTCTTCCAAAAAGATAGGAGAAGAGTCTATCCAGCCTACAGACTTTCAAAACTACAACAAACACAACCTACCCATTTTTAAGTACAAGAAACTTAGCCATTTTCTTAATCAGCAAATCTTCTTTTCCCAGTCAAGATCAGTATCATAAACCTTCCCAAAAACCCCTAAACCCTAACAAAACTACACAGGCAGATATCCACCAAAACAAGCATCAAAAGGAGGTGCTCCCAAACAAAAAAAATAAAGGTTTAAAACAACAAGGACCAGAAATATCAAACGAAGAAAGAACGCAAAAATGAAAAAGAATCGCACAAACACTGTTTCGGATAAATCTTCAAAAAAAACATCTAAAACAAACCACCATAAACGGCAAAAGACGAAAAAGCCCCGAGAACAACGCAACGAAGAACGAACGAAATCAGGGGAAAAAAAGAAAGAAAACCCCAAATCAAACTCCTTAATAGAATGCATCAAAATGCAGCGATCTTTAAACCAAGAACAGAGGAAAACCGCAAAAGAACACAAAAGAACAGAAACTTCCACGGTAAAACCCCACGGAATCCGCCCTCCTCTCCTCCCCGAAAAACCCCACCACCACCAAGAACCGCACCAAACAACACAAGCCCAACCGCTCCCGCATACACAACAATCCAATCTGCAAAAACCCCCCCGCCAAGAACCCTAGATTTCCCTCCACCCAAAATGAAAAGCGGGACTCCTCGCCTTACCAAAGAAAACGATGCAAGAACGGAGGCGACCTCTCCGAGAGGGTGGTGCGCTCCTCCTCCTTGTCCCCCCTCCCTCCTCTCGAAACTCGAACGCCTCGCCTCTCCACACACACTCTCTCTCTCTCTCTTGTAGGAGGAGAAGACGCAGCGGCAGGGGACGAAGGGTAAAACCGGCACTTCGCAGGACCTCGTCGAGGCCACCCGCGCCACCGTGGCACGGGGGTGGATCGGGAACGTACACGTGTCCCCCGCGAGCACACGGGGATGCGCGGCGACACGTGGACGGGCCAGATGGCCCCCGCGCGCACGACGGCCCAGTTGGAATGACGCTTTTACCCCCGGGGCTCTCCCCCCTCTACCCCCGTGTTCTCCTCCACTACCCAACCGAAACCATCCGCTTTACTGCTGGGACATCGCTGACGTATGGACCACGAGGGTTTCTGGCCCCACGTGTCATCGACCTGTGTGGCTGTGGATGCCGAACAGTCAGCCTTCTTTCCAGCTTGCCGATGGTATCCCGGCGGCGACACGTACTCGCTCACCGTGGGCCCCGGGGGAAGGTCTGGGCCCACCTGTAAGTGACAGCAGTTCGTTTCGCCTAGGGTAGTTCCGCGCTCACGGTAGACGTGACAACGACACTTTCGCCGTATGGAGCGGTGGAGCCCACCCACCCATCCTCCGCTGCGTACGGCGTTAAGTCCGACGGAGGGGGAGGGGGCGAGGAATCCGAAGCTTCGAACGATCCGACGGCTGAGTCGCCTCCACGCGGGCAATCCCAGCCGTCGGATATTCACGCCGTCCCCCGAGCCGTTAAACTCCCCGGGCATCCACGCCCTCTCGGCTCTCTTCTCTTCGCTTCCTCCACCAGAAAAGGCTGCCCCGCACGCGCGCGAGCGAGGGAACCCGCGCCCATGGGCCATGGCCCATGGACCGAGCCTACCAAACACCATCCCACCGACACGTGGGTCCCAAGCGGCCCTCCCATCCGAGCCGTCTCCGCGGTTCACGGTGGACGCGGCGCATTCAACGCGGGGTGTGGAGGGAGTACGAGCGGTGGCTGCATCTCTGCGTGTTGTCTGGCCTGGTTTTCGCAAAGGATTTTTTGATGAGGGGGGAGAGAGGGCGAGGCGAAAGCTGGGCCGGTGCGTTTCCTTCTTCAATGGTGGCCAACCCTACACCTGCCAACCATGCTACTGTCCTACAATTGCCACATTTGGGGGGTTGGGTGTCAGGCTCATGGTTTTCCACACCGCCGGGCCGGAGTTACCACGCCCCGGCGGTAAGCACGGTTACCGCGTGATAACCATGAAAAACCGTATGAAACCGTGTAAAAATTATCAAAAATTTAAATTATTTTTTAAATTTATTTGAATTTAAGGAGGTTACCGCGGTATTTATATTACCATACCCCCGCGGTAACTGCGCAGTTACCGGCGGTAAGTCAAACCCTGGTCAGGCTGTGATTTTGGTACAGATTCCATGTTTGAGTTTTGGGGGTGTTTGTGGAAAGAGAGGTATAATGGGGAAGGATTTTAAATTTGAATAATTGGAGGATGAAGTGGAAGCGCAGATGGGGTGGGTTCTAAATTTTTTTTTTTTACTTTTGTATATGAGTACTCTTTTGGAAGGTAATTGTGTGAATATTTAATTATAACTAATATTAGTCTAGTTTTTTTAATTAGACTAATGGTATTACATATTTGACGTCAGCAATTCATTGTTCTTAACTTTTGTGGATAGAACTCATTTAGTAGGAAAAAAAGAAGATATTAGATAGGGTGATTAATTATGTAGACATTTAGATAAGATGGCATAGATTTAGTATGCATTTGCCCAATTTCTTTTAGGCCCATTTTGGATCTAAAATTTTGATAAATGGATTTCATTTTCATTTCTAATATAATTTAGGGAAAAAAACCATGAAGTTCAGTTCAAATGTTAAATTCTTTTTTTTCAGTGCCATCTAGAATTGCAAAAGCAAAATAATCAACCTAAGCATAATTGAATAGAGGCTAGTGTAAGCAACAATCATAACGTACCACAACAATCATAACGTACCACCTCCACCGCATTTGTTTATGTCATCGATCAGTCCCCATTGTTGCACGGTGCACATCAGATCTAGCACGTCATTCAGTGATGTGATATGTTGGTTGTTTCACGAAGGATGTCACACCACCCATGGATCTAAACATCTCTTAAAAATGGATCTAAGGATCAACGACCATGGAGTCATGCCAAAATATAGGAGAATACGATGGCCTAACCCCGAGGCCTTGGAGCACCATCGGAGCTTGAGGCTAGAGCCGTCGATAAAGAAATAGAGTTCCAATAGACAGTAGAGTGAGGGAAGGATGCCCGGACATCGACAAAGACGTAGGCGTAGTGCATAGGAAGTAGATTGCGGCGGCGGCGGCGTGCATTTGGAAGAGGTGTGGAGGATAGAGTGATCTCGATGCGCAGTGCATGGAAAAAGGAGGATTAGAGTCCTTGGACAGATGGATCACGAAAATGATGTTTTTTACCCTGATTTATAGGATCCAAATGGGCCTTGAAGGTTGCATTTTAACCCTTCCATTCTTTGCCCCGAGATTTCGGCGACAAATATGCAATATGATAATATCGCTAAACTAAACTAACACGTGGAAATCCCGGTCCGTCTTATCGAAATCTCACATAGCTAAATGCTATCAATCTTTCTTTTATGTCAACGTGGTGCACACGTGTTCACTTGCATGTCAAAGTCAACACGATGATTCCAACTAGTCGTTGACTAACGGTGGTCCAACGAGCTCTAGTGAGTGCACCATAGAGTAAATATCAACCTCGTGAACTTATCTATTCATATGTGACAACATAGAGATTGATGAAGCGGAATAAATTATGACGGTATTATGGTCTCGATTGAAGGTTCGGTGGATATAGAGTAGCAACCAGAGTAGAGCATGAGGCGGTTAAGCCAGATGCGATGACACCAGCTCATGGTGGTGTTCTAGTCATCAAATAGTAGAGGTCAAAGGAACTATCTCAATGGTGGCGAAGATGGATTGTGTGCAAAGGCAGCAGGAGAATGTAAGAGGTTCAAGCGGCAATTGGGTGACATTGAGAGCTCCTCAAGCATAGGTCCCATATGTTAGTGAGAGAGAGTACCCGCCTATCCACCTAACAATGGGACGATGGGAGTAGAGAGAGAGAGAGAGCATGAGAGGAAGAAGGGAAGACACAATGTTAAGTGGATTCCACATTCCCACGTGATTTTTTTAATCCTTTTTGCTAGGATGCCATGTAGATCAAAATCATCTCGTATTAGTTGAGAGCCGTAAAGTGGAAGAGTTTGAATAGTAGGGATGGTAAATGATTTTCGACTTTTGCAAAAAGTTTATATATGCAAAATTATCCCCCCTATTTATTTATGATAGATAGCAAAACAAGATTTTTAAGAATGACATGATCCAAGTACCGATCACTGACTACTCAACGATGTTTTGCGATGGAAAGCCTTGTACTTGTCATCTTCTAGCTCCTCCAACATTTGAGGTGATTCAAAATACCCAGCCAAACAAAACCCATGCATAACCACCATCATACCATTGATGATTCCAATAAATCTTGGTAGTCGAATTATTTGACAACCAATGCAAACCTTAGGTAAAAAAAAAGGGGTTAATTGGAACCATGCCATTATAAATATCATAGTTTTGAAATATGCCATTAATATTCATCTATTTGGATTCATGCCATTATAATTCCACATCTATCCATTATACACCACTACTTGCCCCTTTAACATATTTTCCAAGATGTTATGACCAAATTACCCATATCTTCTTCTTCATCCCCTCCCATCTCTATCTTGTTCGTCGAACCTGACATCCTAGCAAACGAAAATGCTCACACCGGACGACCGACGGGGTGGAGAAAAATCGGACGCTGTCTGCCACTGCAGCATGCAAAGAATCTTTTCTTTTCTTATTTATTCAAAAGATTTTTTTTATCGTAAACTATTTATCTAATCTACGATCTGATTGCACCACTAAATTCGTTACAATTAAATCTTTACAACAAGACCACACATGATTATATTTCGACAAAAAAATATTTTAATTTTTTATTGATTTTTTTAATGTTGCATGTGGTTTCTTTTGATGTTTCAACTAGTAGTTTTACAATGTTTCAGCTAGTGTACTCATGATGTTTCACTGTGTACGGATCAAATATTGCAGTGGAACGCGCCGTTGCAATAAATTATCCACATATTTTGGAAACCCTCTATTAAGAGAATTTAGTTTATTTTTTGTTCCACAAAAAAATGTTTCACCTAGTGCACTCACAATGTTCCACTATGTATAGATCTAATGTTGCAGTGAACTGAAATATTTCATTGCAACAAAAAAAACCCACATATTTTGGAAACCTCCTATTAAGGAAATTTGTTTTATTTTTTGTTTCACCGAAAAATGTTCCACCTAGTGTACTTATAATATTTCATTATGTATAGATCTAATGTTGCAGTGAACTGAAATATTCTTCTGCTATTTGCTGAAACATTGTTTTTATATAAGTTGAAACAACACCAGATTTAAACGAGTGAAACATTTTTCAATCTACTTAGTGAAACAATTCCGATATACCTGGTGGAACATCATGCAACATTTAAAAATAATTCAATAATAAGCTATTTTTTTTCATCGGAATATATCCATGTGTGGTTTTGTTTTAAAGATTTAATTGCAACGAATTTAATGGTGTAATCGGATCATGATTTAGATAAGTAATTTAAGAGAAAAATCAGTTTAAAAGTAGTTTTGCACGTAAATCGGACTATGACGTCATGCTGATGTGAGCATCCGATTTTTCCCTAAAGCATCGGACGTCCGACGCATAGCCCTCTCCCCTAGCAAACGAGGCGAGGTTACGGGCGCGGGGATGTTCACACCCGGCCGGATGTGCTCGCGCTCCGCCTCACGCACTTGCTGCTCTCGCCGGCGCAACCCTCCGTGCCCATGGCTGCCGTGCTCCTGCGCCGTTTTATTTCCGCCGGGGTCACAGGATGCGGGCCTCCACGTCGGGGTTCCCCATGTTTATCTGGAAGAAGCTCTCCTACTCCAAGGGAGAAGGAGATGGAAGATGAACAGGGTAGAGATTGGAAGAGAATGA